ATTCTCTGCCGTCCTCATCGATAAAACTGCTCTCTCTGCTCAAGAAGTCTCTCTCACTATTCTCTATTCTTTTTGCCGGCGACAGCCATTTTCCTTAGTTGAGCTTTCACCGACACGCGTTGTCTCACTTGAACATCGCGAACGCCTCTTCAGGAGAAAGCCCTGCCTTAACAAACATCTTCAAAAACGAGAGAGTATATAGGGCTTAATGGAAACGTAGTGCAGAACATAACTCAATTAAGCAGCTTGCTATTTTAAATTAAATGCTGAATGGCTTTTTACCACGTTTGATTCTAGCATTCTCCACTTCATATGCGCTTCTCATCGTGGGTTTTTTTTAAAAGAGCATTAATTTGTGTAGTGTTAAAAATAGTCTTTGGGCCGTGAGTTGATAAAAATTATGATCATAAATGCATTATAATGCATTCATGATAAAAAGTAAAAGCGCAACTGGAGACTAATTATTACATTATTTTATAGATTCTTCACGTCTGAAAAGAATAATATTGTCAGGAAAAAATAGCATCGACATTACATCCCAATGTAAATATTCCCATTTACTTCAAATTGTAAGATTGAAAAAACTCTTTTTTCATATGAATTTTCAGCTATAAAGTTTCCATATTTAAAATTAATTTTTTACGCCTTTTTAACGAGAGGATGAAATTTGCCGTCGTAACTTCCAGCTGATGTAATAGAGGTGGAAAATTCCTCTGTGGAGATTTAACAGCTTAACGTCCCTTTGCAAAGTGCAGTGCCTCACTTGCAACGGGAAGTCCTGCCTGCATAATGGCTTGTCCGGCCGCAAACTCATTTAAGTTGTTTACGACCCACTTGATGCATTGTAAATTTCACCGTACACAACCGAATTTTCCAAGCGCAGCTTCCAGAAATGCAACGCGCGCGCACCTGCTCTGTTCGCCAAGGGACTGCGGTTTATGGGTCTTGGGTGGTTTCGACCCTTCTGTCCGCGACGTAAGCGCGTTTTCATACAATATTAGGTGAGGCTTTTGACCTTTTAAAGAGCTTGTTGCTGCGGAATTCACCAGAGACGAATATTATGTTTCCCCTCGTTACATAATGCAGCAAACATGATTCGATCAATATTGAGGCTACAACTTTTGAATGCCATGCAGATTTTCCTCACAAATCAAGAATTTTTTTTATTAAATGTGCAAGTTAGAATGTCAAATGTCTATTGCAAGCATTTTTATGATATTCCCTAGATGGGCTTTTTACTCCTTTATGGTTTTGTAGATAAAATAATATCCTGCTCTACATGTTTAGACTGTAGCTGCAGACATTATTCACGAAGTGTGAATTACTGTAATAAAAATTATTAAACTAATTAATTTCAAGTTTTTTTTAAACATATACCAATTTCTATCAAAGAAATTTATTTATTAATTTATGAATTTAAATTTAAAAATTTATTTCTAGGACAATTTAGCTAGAATAATCAGAGAACCTTTCTCAGTGGAGGAAGAGAGAAGGCTAACTTAATTTTGCACAAGAATTTCACATCGATAAAGTATTAGAAATTTTCAGATAACAGTGATTTTTCTGTGTGTGGGGATGCGATTTTTTTAGAGTAGGAAACCAATAAGGAAGAGCGGTATTTATATTCAAACACCACATTATAAAAGTGGCAAAAATTTGCAAGCACAACATTTTTATTTTATTATTTGTAAAATATCCCCTTTTTCCACCTTTAAATAAAGCCTGAAAAAACAGACATGAAACCTTATATGAAAATCATCAAAATTTGCTAATCTATTTGAAATGTTCCACTAAATGTTTTTACATAATATTAAGTACACAATTATATAATTTCCTTTGCCAAAAAATAAAAATAGATACAGTATATTTTCAATGAGAGTTGCAAACAAAAACAAAAAACTTTGACCTGGTTTCGTCGCAACGCAACCGATAATGACCAACTTTCGCTCGTCGGCGGATACTGCGGAAATTTAATAACGACGTGGCGAGATTTATTTCAGCGGCAACCCTCTCGCAGCAGCCCGCGGCACTTGCAAATAATTGAGCCGCTTGCCGGGGCAGTGGCACTGCACAACACACATACACAGCGCGAATCCACTGCAGCTTTTGTTTTTCGCAAGCAGGCATAAATCAATGGGGCGAAGAATAATTTCGCTGCCTGGCCCGCGGGTGTTGTGGTGAATTAATAACTCCAACCCCCGCCCCACCCCCCTTCCGCCCGCCTGCCTTTTGGCTAATGGTGAATTTTAATTAAAGTGTTTTTGCGCGCGCCAGCCGGCGGAGAATGGAGCATCCCTCGAGCAGGATAGACTGTCGATGTGAGCCAACGTGTTTCATTATCCGTCTCACCGCCCTGCGTAATATACAGTAAAACGTGGATGCGCCATCATCGTTTCCGTGAATATGTGGCAAAAAGCCCCTCGTGTGTGCTGCGCCGCCTCCTCCGCACCTCTTCTCTTTTAAACACCCTCCGAACCTTATTTTTTGAGCAAGAGTTGTTGAGAACAAGCGAAAATCCGCTGCTGCACTTCCAGAAATGAACCGCGGATATTTTGCTCTTTTGGCTTCGGGGAAATTCTAAGCCAAATGTATTTTCTCAGAAAACGGATTTATCTTTTGTTTTTATGATGTGTCTTAATTACAATGATGACAAGAAAAGCACGAAATGCCCTTTCATAGATATATGATTTCGATTACCGCAGGATAACCGTAAGTTTGAAAGTGCCGCTGAAAACTTATTTTAACTTTTTTTTTAATAATTCTTGGAAGATCCAAATTAACAACTACATATAAATCTCACTGCGGAGGATGGCGCTTTTTTTATTTAACTTTTCTTTCTAGCAAAAGATAATGCATTGGTCTTTTGATTTGTTGCTGCAATTTTTGTACGGGAATAAAAAAAATGATCTTATCCAAAGTCATTGTTATAACGACTAAAATAATTTGAGAAAATGCAAAAACTTTAAATATAAAGACTGAAAACTCTCAGAAAATCAAAATTCCATATACTTTAAATCTCGATTTAACAAAGATTGGTCTATTTTGATTATACTGACAAATTCGCCTTGCCACTCATTTCGTCCAAATACACCAAACACAGCCACTGTGACGTAATTGCCGACTCTCCGGGCGAGCCTATTAATTTCACATGCAAACCAACAACGCATTAAAATCTTGCGTGCGGGATTTTAAATGGCGCATGAAACTTTTATTCAACGAGCCAGGCCGTAGCTCATGCAGGCCGGCAGTTTGGTGTATTGTGTCCTGTATTGTCGCAGGCGAAACTGCTGATTTGACATTGTTCCGCCGAGAGAGACCCAGGGGGTTGTGGAACAAATTTAGCAGATTTGCAGCCGCGATAAACAAAGCGAAAGCAAACACGCCGGCAAACATGGATGCGCGCACAACCGCAGAGAGCGAATTGCCTTTGTGAAAGCCGATCTCGCGGCGGGTTGCGGCCGTTTAAGGAGAAACCCGATCCGCGCTTCGATCTTTTGTCCCTCGCAGAATCCAGAGTGAAATCTTATTGTTGCGCCCCGATAAATAAATATGGAGCGAGGATAAACCGGTCAAAACCCATCGGCGAAAATAAGACGAAAGCCGCAGAAGAAATAGAGGCACTTTTTTCGATCCCCCGCAGTTTACGTTAGGCGCAGGGGTGGCGGAGATGAAATATGTTTGCCTCCGTGGGGGATTTCGCTTCCCGGCTGCTGGCGGAAATTTCATTTTTCGTCCCAGAATTCGCCTCCAATAAGCCAAATAATTGAACTTTTCAAATTGCATTTTCGCTGCCTCTCTTTCTCTCCACGCCTTTACGCCCCCACCCGATATATTATTTTTCCACTTGATGAGGTGCGTTGTAACGCAGTGACGCAAAAGCAGCGATAGATTGTGAGAGGAAAGATCTTTTTATATAGCCCATTCAATCAAAGTAACCTCATATTGGAATAATATCTCATAAAAGAAGATTTTTTCATTCTGCAAAGAAAAAATCGTAAAAAAAGAGTTTATTTTTATTCTATTTGAGGACTCATTCTAACCTTACGAAATTTGGAATTTTAATAATATTATGACATAAAAATACTGTTTTAAGTAAACCAAAAAACCATTTTCAATAATTTCACCATCAGATTACAAATTTGGAGTAATTCAATAAAAATTTAAAATGAAAGTAAAATAAATACATTTTCAATTTGTATTTAAAAATATTTTATTTTTGCATGTTAGATTATTGAAGTAAAGTGACATGATGGACGTGAACATTTGATTTTTGTCGTTTATTATCAACAAAACCCTGAATAAAATCACCAGTTGAATAGGCCTCCTTTAATTGCATAATCTAATTTCAAATAAAAGATAATGTGATTTATAAGTATGACGAAATATTGTACTTGTTCTTAAAACATCACAGTAAACAAATTATTCAGTTTATTGTAAATCATACGTTTAGAGGGTTTACATTCTTTTTCATAACATATATAACTTTTTTTATTGATTTTTTTCTAATTTGGTCACGAAAACAATAATTATAATAATAGTATTTAAAATGAAAATTTAATTAGAGAAATAATAAAAAAATGCTAAAATTAAGAATCAGAAGAAGAAGCAGAAGCAGAAGGGAACAAATTTTATGTAGAGGGAAAGCAATATAAAAATAATGAATAAGCTGCTTCTGTCAAGAATGAATATTTCCTTGTTGCTATTAATATTAAGCAACGTTGCAAACCATCTTAAATATGAAACGAAGGTAGTAGAATTTCGATTCTCATGAATTATATTTTTGTTCCTGGATGAATGATTTGTCCCTGTCCAAAGTTGGGAACCAATCACTTTGCTTTTTGTCCCTCGGTAGTCGGTACAATCTTTTCTGGCAATGGAGCAACTTTGCCGAGTGAGCAATATATTGAATATGGGGTTGTTTCGTACGTGCGTATTCAGCGCACAATCAGGAGTAGCAAAGAGTTGCGGCAGCACAAGTGAAACTTTTTGATGTGTTGCAGAGGGACTGGACTCGCCGCCGTCACCCCTGCCCATTTTGGTGCTCGTCCACGGCGACTCCTACGAATGGGGCTCGTCAGCCACCATGGACGGATCCGCCTTGGCGGCGCACGCCAACGTCGCCGTAGTCACCCTCAACTACCGCCTTGGAATATTAGGTTAGTCTTGCTAGAAATTTTTCAATTCTTTTCGTTTTATTTCATTTTTGATGCAAATTTGCAGACATGATAATTTAACGTAACATAATATGTCATTTTTTATGCAAGAATTAAAATAATCTAATATAGTTGTAAATCATTGCAAATTAGGGTAATTAAAAAATAATATCTCAATCAGAAACGGTGAGGGAGAAGGTAATCGTTTGATTTAAAGAGCAATGTTTATTTTTATCATACATTACTTTTTCATGTGTTCGAAATGAAATTTTACTTTTCAAAACGATCCGATTCTTTTTTTTATCTTATTTGAATAATTTTGTTAAAAAATTGTCAATTATTTAATTTATTGCCTTATTGCGTCTAATTGCAATTAAAAAAATGTTTTTTTAATTTTTTAAACAATTCTTAAAATTAGAGGTTAGTTGGAGGTCAATAATAAAAAAATTGCAATGATCAATAGGTTTCCTTAAAACCGGCCCCAAGGGCAGCGTGCAAGGCAACTTTGGCCTTATGGACATTGTGGCCGCCCTTCATTGGCTCAGAGAAAATGCAGCTGCTTTTGGTGCAGACCCTGAACGCATCACGTTATTCGGCCACACGACTGGGGCAGCCCTCGTCCATCTTTTGGCAATGTCTCCTTCAGCCAAGGGTAAGTTTAGAAATTCTCTTACTCTCTACCAGAAAAATGAACTGCAATTTTGAATAGATGCAATTTGCTGCACAATCCAATTCACTTTCTAAAATTCACAAAAACAATAAATTGATGTTTTCCTCTCATTCCATCATATCAAAAATAAAAAATCTTTTTAAAATTCTATAATAAAGATACAAACAAATTATTAATTTGGTAATGAAGAATATTAATTTGTATGTAGAAAAAAAATATTCATCATCCATTCCAAGCTCTCAGTTTTTCAAATAATTCACCAAGGATAAGAAAGTTGTAAGGGAAATCAGACAAGATTTTTCTTTGCATACTTGATTCGGAGGGAAAGTGAAAGGGCGCCGAAAGCCAGCAAGTTGCCTCGAGAGGGAAATTCCATCTCGCGGGAGCGATTCTTTTGGAAACAAAGATGAATTCCTCCCAAAACCATTCCATCTTTCACGGTTGTGCACAAAAGAAGAGAAAATACGCACGGGACTTTGACGGAACGGGTGCGGGCGAACCAATATTATACAAAAGAAATACTCGTCTTGGATGGGATGATTAATCTGAATGCATCTCCTTTTCGCTCGTCAATTACACATTCCTATTCCGTCTTGTGTCTGGCCACGGTCGCGCCGACAAAAATCCATATTTAGGCGCGCGCCCTGCGTGTGTACGCAGTCCTACATTGACAAGAACCTCTCTCGGCTTACAAGGGAACAACGCCAAGCCTCTCAAAAACCAATGTTCCTCTATTTCGTTAAGATTTTTTGAACCTGAATGAGATACGTTGATAATTGTTTTCCCACATTCCACCCACTTTGTTTAATAGATTTAGCCAAGGTAAAAAGTTATCTCATAATCCGAAGAAAAAAAATAAAATTTACCTTTAGAACCATTCAAATATCATTGAAATTTTGTACAGTTGAATAATATTTAATCGAAGTTGAAGTTAAGAAAAGGAAACGTAAAATTGAAAAAAAATCAGTAATATTTTTGCATTTTCATAACTTAAATAACTTTGATAACTGAATTAATTAAAGGCCTGCTTAACAATTATTTTAAAATTTTTTAAATATTTTAAACAACGCAATTTTTACAGAGTCAAAAATTAAGATTTTAGAAAATTATTTATAATTCCTCTTAATTCCACAGATGAGCCTTTAGAAGAAATCAACACTGTTTCTTACTTGGACAAAATTTTGCTAGTGAGAAGATTGGCGATATTCCCTTGCTAGCCGCAGTGCCGGAGATGCTATCTCTATTTTTTTTTCGCAATTTTCCTTTCCTCCACTCATGATTTCTTTTCTCATTTTCACTCTCTCTTTTTCCAGGTCTATTTTCGCGTATTGTTCTATCAAGCGGCTCGGCGTTAAGTCCGTGGGCGCTTCAGACGGATCCATTTTTTATAAAGAGACGAGTGGCAGAGCACACAGGTTGTCATGGTGACCTCGAGGAGGAGGACATCGCGCCCTGCCTCCGCAACCTGCCCCTCGAAAAACTGCTGCAAACGAGGCCTGGTCCTCCCAGGTAAGTTTCCACTCAAAACGGTCAACCGCCGCTATTAAATTTTGCGCAAACAGCTCTCCAGACCCGTGCAATGTGTATTGATTTGAGGTCTCACTCGCGCGTTTGTGCGACAGACCGTTGCTGCTGGTTTGCTTTGACATCTCGCCGTGCTTTTATAGTTCCTATTGATAGCCGCTCGTCTTTGTCCAGCTGTGATCTATTTTAGCCACTTGAAATAGGGTCAAAAAATGGCTTGCTGTTTCAGAGGATGGTGGATTATCCCAATTGTCTCTCTAGAGAAATTTTATTATCTGGAAAATTTGTATAGAAAAACATTTTGAAAGTAAAAACAACAAAAAATTTTAAACCGGAATAAGTAGACCTCATTTCTTATTTTACTCACTTTCTAACATTCTTCTATTTATTTTTGCTATTAGATTAAATTCATTGAAAATTTAAATTCACGACATGAATATTTGAAATTCAAAATTGATTAATTAATTTTAACGGAAAGTAAACACTTCCAAGTTTTGGCAGGAGAAAATGGTTTTGCTCATACCTTACTCAGTAAGGTAAAAAGGTTATTTCCTGGCTATTTTAATTTTTATGAGATTAATCCTTGCTCTCAATCACTCAAGTTCATTTTTAGCGTTTCAATTTTTTTATCGTTCAATGTTGGGGATGTATGCAACCTGCTCGACTCGCTTGCGGAGAAATTGCCTAACACCATTTAAATATAAATATTTTCATATATTGAAAGTTAACATTAGGGTGTATACCAAAGGCTGCTTAATATTCCAAATATGTAATAAACAAATATTTACAGATTAAAGCATGGCAAATTTTAAAGTAAAGTTTGATTTTCTTTGCAAAGATGCTGACAACATTTCGAATGATATATTTATTAAAGAAATAATCACTTTGCTGATAATTTATCACATATTTGATGATTTTATTTCAAACAAATCGTAAGTGAATTTAAAAATAAAATGGAATAATAATAAATTTATAAATATTGGTGATAAACAATTAGATGTTGATTTTACAGAAGACTATAGAACGAGACAAGAAAGAAACAATTTATAAATATGATATGCAAATTTGTTAATTATTAATTTTATTATTTCCACTTTACATTAATTTACGTTGAAATGAGCACTTCATAGCATGAACCAAGAGTAATATGAAAACGAGGATTGTCCTGCTCATGCTCATTATAATTAATTGGCAAAAGCAGCTTTTACTCTCAAAAATAAATTACAATAAAAAGCGTAAGTCTGCTTTCATTTCCCATTCCCATTTGGATTAATAAGCTTCTGAAAAACACACAATTCACTAATTTTTAAATTGACACCAAATTATTTTTAGTTTTTTATGATTATTAAATTTTATTTTAAATCCAGTCAACATAAGTAAATAAAAAATATACAAAATGAATATTCAAATGTGCAACTAAAAATTTAATAATTTGGCTCATTAAAGAAGTTGCTTAAAGAAAACTTCTTCCGTTTACGTAAATTCTGCTAGCCACACCATGCTGCTTTTGTGTTTAATATTTCTCTGGAAAATATCTCGAAGGAAAATTTGTACAAAAACACACTGCTCGCATTTTTCTTCTTCTTCGTTTCTCTTCCTTGTAGCGCCGAGCTTATTTTGTTACGTTTTCCTTTTCATTTGGGCAAAAAAGTGATAATACTAAAACTCCTTCCGAGAACCCTCAAGAGCAGTCCTCAGACAAAAGATTTTCCCGGAGCTGATCTTCGAGGGCGAAGGTTACAATGCTCGGCGCCAGTTGCTCGGCGCGCGTTCTTTTGCAAACTTCAAAAAAGTAGCAGAGTTGCCGCTGGGGCTGGCGGGCGGACGAGCGGGCTCCGCTTCCTTCCTCTCTTTATATTCTTCCGAAAAGCAGCAGCAGCAGCGGCTCAGTAATTAGTAAACGCACTCGCCACCGAGCCCTTGCGCGCAAAACAACAAAGTCCTCTACCAACTATTTGAATTCCCAACACGCTTGGTGCGCAAAATGAAAAACAACGGCGCAGGCCGAGCAAACAAAAAAACTCCAAAACTTGAAAACTCTACCTGGTAGTCAAAACAAATGACTTCGGAATAGAATTTTCTAACTGGGATGGAATTGCGAATTTTAAAATCCACCAATTTTTACAGATTTCTCCCAGGGTTTGCACCTTTTGTTGATGGTGGCGCCCTGGTTCCACTTCACCCTGCAGCTGCCATGGGCATGTCAACCCTCGCCATGGGCTCTGTTGGTAAGCAATATTTGAATTTTTTATTTTATAATTGTTAATGGTCTACCTTTATATGGCTCCTTTTAGTAAACTGTAGAATTAGCTTTTTAATATAAATAAACAAAAAGATTAAAAATGTTTCGCTTTGAAATTTAAAAAATTCTTGACCAATCAATCTTGATGAAAAATTAATTTTTTCTTATATTAATATAGCTTTCAAGGTTCCATTTTTTTTTAAATAATTTGTTATTTTTACCCCAATGGTGTTTTCATTTTTCATTAATTTCTATTTTATTATTTTACCACATTAAAAGCAGAGCGCCACAGAGTAATTATTTGTTTTGCAGGTTTGTCATGGGAGGACGTGAAGCAGACTGGCCCATCAACCCCGTCACAATCCTTCATAGACACTGATGTTCTTTTAGGTGAGTACACGGGGCATTCCGGGCTTTCACGCCTAATTGCACTCACCCTATATACCAGCTAATGTGTGTCCGTGTTGCGAATTACACTGTGACCATACCATTAAATAGTCGTGCTCTCTTGGCAGGTAATGATAACGAATGTATGAATTTCAATGTGCGATACAAATGTGTACATGAAAGGTCACCGCAGACATACATACATGTGGCCATTCAATTCAGAAATGAAGAATATCGTTAAATAAGTAAAATAAATAATAATTGAATAAGCAAGTAATTAGCAAAATACAAATGTAGAAACAAAATGTTATAGTATTTGCAATAATTTGACATATCTGGATATATCGGAGAATATGAATAATTTGTTCTTTAATTATTTAATTTAAAGTAAGTAAACTTTATTTTTTATTAGTTTTTACACGATTGAGAAGTTCAATTTATTGGGTCGTTTTAATTTGCACAACAAATTAAAATTTGATTGATTTATGAACTTAGATATATGTAATTGTTCGCAAATTTATGGCATTATTAATAATTAACAGGATTATTTACTCACTCCTCCTTTTTTGCATCATCATTAATATCTGGTCTGCATCTAAAGTTAATCAAGATTAAGTGAGTCATCATTTCGAGCAACTTGACATGTCCGTAAAGCCACACGTCCGATTCCCACAGACCCCTTTCAAATGTCACGCCCAACCAAAAGCGGCGGTATTTCCTTTGGTCAGTGGAGCAAATGAATGAGTGTTGTGTGAATGGTGCATGACTTTGTGCGAAAAAGTGCGTTTTATCACTGGGAAAAAGAATGAGAGAATGACAGAGCACGAAAAGAAGCTAATTTTTCGCGCCGACTTTGAAGTAGCAAATAATGGGGTTTCGCAGAGGCGTTTAATTTGATTAAAGCCTAAGGAATTAAGGAATTAACGTGCATGCTAAGTGAATACGCGGATGAAAAATTTCTGTGCGCAAGAGCGGGCTGTGTTTTTTATGCGGCGCTTTTGAGTAATTAAGAGGCGAGCATTAATTGGCGGCGCGGCGTGTAATTGCAGTTGTTACGTCGGTGGAGGCATACGAGGAGCTGAGCGCCCAGGACCTCGAGTTCGGACTGAACGAGACGAGGCGAGACCGTCTCCTGCGAACCCTCGTGCGAAACGTTTTCCGCTGGCACCTTAATGAGATTTTCTCCGCGCTACGCAACGAGTACACTGACTGGGAGCGAGCAGCTGGACTCGCTCATAATCCCTTGGGTACTGCGCTATTATTTGTGCAAATTATTATACTGCAGCGGCGGCGGCAAGTCGAGCTTGTTATGATGTCCCGGGTCCAACTTTTGCTCTAGTTGAATTAAACATACGCAGCTTGCACGAATTTTATCTCACTAATTGGCCCTTTCAACCTCGACATTAAACAATATAAACCTGTTTTAATGATAAATGACTACACATTAAAGAGTCTTGAAGCCTTCAAAATATTTAAGTCCTTCTATATATTGGAAAAATCTTTTCTAAACAATTACAAACATGTTTAGGTTTGGAGAAAAAACTGACAGAGTTATTGAGTTTCAAAGCTCCCCATTGTCTTTTGAGAAATTTAAGCTCCCTCTATTTTTGTTCAGACCACCAATTTTCTAATCATTTGAATCATTGCGCAGGATCTCAATTATGGATTATATTTCTTAAAAGTTTGTCAGACTCTTTAATACTGTAAGTAGTTGTCTTTTTTTCTTCATAATTAATGATCGCAAGTTTTCCAATTTGATTCCTGCAAATCTGCAAACACATTTGTCAGATGCTTTGACTTGATACCAACACTGCGCCTTGCAAATCTCATTAAAGCTGACTGCCCCTGCCGTTGCCAGCATTTGGCCGATGGCCAGTTTTTCGACTGCTCGGAAATTGGATCGAGATTTTCGCAAATTTTTTTAACAGCGTGTTTTTTTTTAGCAGGCTGTGGAAAAATTTCCCTTTTTTTCTCCTGTTACAGAAAAACGTATCTCAGTTTCTGACAAAATGATCCAACAGAGGTTCATTATTTTTTTATTTGAAAGCAATTAAATTACCTTTTTTCTAAACGAAAATAGAAAAAAGCAATTTGAGCCCTATAAAAAGCAGCGTTGCGAGGAAATTTGTAATTTCCACGGCTCGTTGGCTTCATTTTGTTTATTTTCACATGAAAAAAGTGGTTTGTAGGTTTGGTTTCTCGTTTTTATTATCACTTTGAATTAAAAAAGCAAAAAAGTTATATTTGTTATTTACAGAAGTTAAGCTTTTAAACCTGCTTATTTTTCTAGGTAGATAAAAATTAAAATGAGTAGCTCATAATCAATTACATATATTTATTAAGTCTCTTTTAATTCAATGTAATTCAATTTTTTTCTCATTTTTTTAACCGCTTAACTTTCTAGTCATTGTCGATTTTAATTACTGTAATTATAAATGCTCTTTTAAAATTTTCTACAAACTTTATGATTAACCTTTGTTATGGCGCCATTGACATTTGTCCTGATTTTTTCAAAATTTTTATTAAACCATTTCCGAAGCTGTCGAAATAATTATACATTGTGTATTATTTTTATGCTTTTAATTTGCCTATAATTAAATTATTTATAGGGGTGCGGGACGCCGCCCTTGCTGTTTTGGGGGACGGGCTGACCGTGGCCCCGATTTCCAGAGTTGCCTCCCTTCACTCCTCGGGCCAAGGCACCGGCAACACCTATTTTGCTCACATTTTACCAGGAGACTCGATACCAATTAGAGATTTTCCCCAAGTAAGTAAAGCACCAAAATACAAAAGATCGAGCCAAGAAAGAACAAAAGGCAAAATCGATGCAGCATTGGCAAGAGTACACAAAATGCTTTTTATTTTCAGCGTCCAGGTAGTGTAAGAGGAGAAGACATAGCGTACTGGTTAGCCCAGCCACTGCTGCCCCCGAGCTGGCCCGGACTGCTGACAGACAAGACCAATTACACGCAGCAGGATGCGCAGATGTCCAAGGCTTGTGTTCATTACTTAGGCAATTTCATTAGATCAGGGTGAGTCCTTCTCAGTCAGTCCTTCTCAGTTTGACTTTATCCCTGCTCGCCCGATTTGGCCCTCAAGGCCCTCGGCGGTCGCAAAGCGGCCCCTTGACTGCTGAGCTGATTGCGTTGGTTGCGCCTGCTTGCGCTGGATAATTTGATTCCTTTTCAATTTTCCTCAAAGACTGTTTCGTGTATAGTCCTCTCCCTTTTTGCCATTATTCGCTGAATGCGAGAGCGCTCTCGCTTTGTTAGTGTTTCTCGGCGTAAACGCGCTGTTGTGATTTTGCCCTAGTGATAAAAGCCAAAAGAGTAGCAGGTGAAACGATTTCCTTTATAACAAGCTCGTCTCGAGTTTCGCCAATTTCCATGCGCATCCCGTTCAGTCAGCTCAACGTAATCAATTTGGACATTTAACCTTTGACATGTAAAATTGATGCCCTTTATTTAAATATAAATCATTTGATTTTAAAAATAAAAATAAAATTCAAAATTAAATTTGATTTGATTTCTACAAATTTCTGTATTATTATAAGCATATATTTGCAGTAAATCAATTTTTTTTTAACAAGTGGATGAAGACAAGAATTAATTTTTTAAATTTAAATGCATTTAAATTTAAATTGATCAAAAACTGCAATTATATTAAATATTACACTATAGAGTGATTTTTTCCATAATATTTTAAAAATTGGATTCAAAGTTGTAAAGTGGCAGTTCGTTTAACTAATTTTATCCAATTTCTAGTGACCCCAACAGTCGTACAGAAAGCTCACCAGACGAAGAGCGGAAACGACAACTCGGGTCGCCACATTCACACCAGGGCCCTTTTCCATACTGGGACAAGTTTGACAGCGTCAACCAGTTCTATCTAGATCTGGGTCAGTGAATTATTAATGTTTTACACATTTCAAATTAATTAACCTGCAAGATGAAGTGCTTATATTTACTTTTGAACTTTCAGGTGCCCATCCTCACATAAGAAACCATTACAGAGGTCACAAATTGTCACTGTGGTTGCATTTGATCCCGCAGCTGCACAGGCCGGGCGCCGGTGACGCTGGCTCCAGGCACCACCACTTTCTTGAAGATGGGCCTCAGTTCTATGATGGTGAGTATTGTGTGCCGTGCATAATTTACACGCCTTTGTTCTCGCTTTCTCTCTCTTCTTTCGCGCGCGCCCCATCTCCTCGTCTCGCCCGCAGACGGCCACAACGTCTCCCAGCCGCATTTTAGTGATTCCTTTTTTTCTTGCACAATGTATAGAGATGTCTGGGTGCGACACGAAAAGAAAAGAAAAACACCCAGACTTTGCTGACAATATAAGACAATGGTGTCAAAATAAAATGAAATATTTTTTAAAGAGAAGGTCTCCTAATGGATGTCAGTCTGATGAATTTTTGTAGAAATAATTTTTTATCTCCCCATTTATTTAAATCATTTAAACATTTTAATGTAATGATGAAGAAGATTATAAGAGGATTTGCATACAGTAATAACTCAAAATTTATATCTTTACATGTAAATGATTTACTAACATTAATCGACGTCAAAAGTTGATCAGGGAACGGTTTTATTAAAAAAAACAAAAAAAAAAACTGAAAATATTTTTGTTAAACAAAGTTTAAAAAAAAAAAAAAACAACAGTTAGAACCAAAAGTCTCAAGGATAATATATTGAAAACCAGGAAGCTCACTTCATAGCGACCACTGATCAGAATAATTAATTCTCTTTTTTCTTAAAAGGGAGCCTCAACGATTTATGTACATGTTAAATTGTCTCCAAAAATTTAGCATGTGCACTCTTAGTGCATTATTTTGAATTATAAGTATTTCAAATTACAAAATATTAAAGTAAACAATGAAGTGGATTTATATAAACAAAAATATATTTATAAACAAACAAATTTGCAAAAAAGATTAATAATGATTTTTTTTTAAATTTCAGGCATTGTTCGACCGCAGTCGGCATTTTACCCTTCACGCTTCCCTCCACTGCCAGCGGCGCCGTCGCCATCGCCCCAATCGCCCGCCCCCGCCACCCCGTCAATGACGACCACGGAGTGCCCGCCGTCGCCACCCCCGCTCGCCCCCCTGTCACCGCCGAATAGCACCTTCGTCACCAACCCCTCACAACAGCAGCCCCCGAACACCAACAATAACAACAACAATGGCGTCAACTTCATCAACGGCCCGAGTTCAATGTCGACGGCTCTGATCGTGACGGTCACCGTCGGCTGCTCCCTGCTGCTGCTCAACCTGCTCATCTTCGCCGGCATTTACCGCCACCACCACCGACGCAGCACACGCCACCGACGCGAGGGCGGCGGCGCCAAGTCGCGGCGCCACCGCCACTCGGGCGGCGCCTCCTCTCCGGTGGCCTCCTGTTCGAAAGATTCGCCGCCAATGGTCATTCCGGCGCCGCCGCCTCCACCCAAGAACTTGCCACCTCCGGACATCACCCCCTACCTGCCCCCAGGGGCTCTCTGCCACCCCGGACCGGCCAGCGGAGGCATCTTGCGCAACAACCCCGTCAACTCAGGGCCTTCGTCAACCCCCTCGACGCCGGGCACCGCGAAAAAACGAGTGCACATTCTTGAGATTTCCGTGTGAATAAACTATAAATAATAATGTGTTGCACCAATACATTGATTCAAAAGCAATTTTTAAACTTTGCTGTGAAAGCTCTAGAGCTTGTATTGTGTATGTGTGTATTTTGGCAAATTTCCTACAACACCATCATCGGGGGGATCATAAACCTTTTTTTATTCAGATTTTCTAAAAATTATTATATCTCTGAAGTCTGATGCGATATAATTGTTTTTAATTTCTAGGGCCATTCATTAGACTCTTTTTTTTTAAATTCTCATTCACATTTAATTGAATTATTTTTATCAATTCTTTCCCTTTCAATTCACCCAGGATTTATTAGGGTTATATTAAACACATTTTTAAAGCGTATAATTGTAATATTTTGCTAAATAAAAGTGGATGGTCATAATCATAAATTTTTATTTTTCCTTCATTGCTGCATAATTGCCTTAATCGGCTTATCAGAGTTGATTACTTCGATTTGTTTTGTAATTGGGAGCAATTATCAGTGGAACATGTGAAATATGTGAAAATTTTTCAGCCGTTCACTTTTCCTTGTTTGGAAATTGATAATCCAGACAAAATTACGTGAACTATTGCTTGCTTTGCTATTTGCTCCAAAAAAAATTATTTATGAAAAGCAATTTTTTTAATGTTTATGTTTTTTATCAATTGGTAATTTTTTTCCTTGGTGGCTCAAAGTTTAAACTACATCCATCATAATTCAGGGATAAACTGATCACGATCACATCATAATCTTTTGTCCAGTGTCAAAATTTTCTGCAATACAATCGTTATCATCTACCAAATGTCATCAAGATTCTTTCAAGAGTTGGTTGATTTTTTTGAAGTATTTTCAGCATCATCTAACACACATCCACATCTCTTTGTCAAACATATATGGACATGGTGAGTACGTCTGACAATTACAAATCAGTGATTTTACGGATTTTACAATGTTTGTAAGTGGAATGAAGGTGGTGAAACTGGACTTCCAAGCAAACTTCTGTGTCCGAAGTGGAACCTTTGCCAAAATAGTGCGAAATCGGCCATGCAAGTGGATTATAAAAATTATAAAGTTGTTACACACTCACTATCGTTTGTTAATGTACACACAAATCGGAAGAGGTTATTAAAAATTAGAATGTTTCCTGTACAAAATTTTAATGGAAAAAAATGTTGTGTTGTTGAAGAAGAATTCAATGTGTATCCACATCAACGCGTGAAGCAAAATTTGCTGACTGTTTTCTTCCAATAGAGTTTTAAGTGGCAATGTGAGGAAAAAAGGTGATTTGCACGAGGGAACGTATGGGGGCTACTAATGAGCAGATTTTTCACAAACCAGAAGCATTTTGTCTGCCAGGAGAGAGTGCAGTTCACATTTCCTTGTACAAAAGAGAAAGAGCCTATATTCCCCTGTTATACATTACAAGTCCAAAAGATATTAAAACACACACCTTGCAAAATTAGATTTCCCTGACCCATAATGTCTGGAACCCAAGTGTATAAATTGAGAGAAAATAAAATTCAGAAATTGATGCTTATTATTATGCACTGAAATTTTCATTCCATTTTGTTTATTACCTTTGACAGCCTCTCTGGCAACCTCCGACAACAATGCCTGTATTGTGTGGTAAAATTTCCATACATTCATAGAATAAGTATGCATACATAATGAGATCAGGATTTTGAAAAAATACTTTAAAGAAAAACAAAGTTTTTTCAATCGGAATTAATGAAAAAAAAAATTGGTTGGATTTGAACTCTAGTTTCACTTGATGAATAGATTGCATTTTTTTTGTATATAATTTAGTGTTTTGGCTGCAGACTGCAGCCATAATTAATCAGCTTTCTCGTTCGTAGTTGAGAGAAGAAGGGTCCGCAACATGTAGAGCAAGTTATATAGTGTGTTTCTCATGTTTCTGTATAAACAACGACAGCGAGTACAATAAAACCTCAATCTACTCATAGAGGAAAGGACGAGTTTAAATTCAGCCAACAATGAACTCCACCTCGACTTTTTTATATAAAAATAAAAAAAATATCGTGATAAAAAACCCTAATTTAAATTACATCGATACCCTATTGAAATTAGATACATTTAAAGTATCAACATCATCTTAACATATTATGATAAGTACAAAAGTCCTAACGTTTTTGAGTTTTTAGTTCCTTTGTGGAAAATATGTTAGAAATATAACCAAATTATAATAAATATACTCATATATACTAAACAATATCAAAATTATGAAAACAATTATTTAGGTGTAAACTGTCTTTCTTTACAGTTTCTGAAAATGTTAAATATAATTGAAATTTTCTTTTTATTTATGGAATTTAATTTTATTAAACATGATGCTGTAGCTTCCAACGGCAAAATATATGATCTCAAAGGACCACATGAGATAAAAATCAGATATGAACAAAACAAACATAATGGGGTGATGAATTTTTTATTTCGTCCGGGAAAACTTTACATAATGATAAGCTCTATAAAAATTTATCACTCCAAAAGTACCTGGATTCCCGAACTTGGAACACAAGTAGAACACTTTTTACAAGAGCAAGTTTTGACATCCATCTGCTGATTTTTTTTTCAATTTTGAATTTAAACTAAAACAGAGAAGGATAAATACTTATAGGCATTCGTTCGTTTTAGCAACCAGATCTCTTACTTATTTCTTATGTTTAAATTGTTTAATGGCTTCAGAAAAATTAAATAAAACTTTTAAATGGAACCCAGATGAAAACTTCCTTGAAAAAAGTTATACTTTATGATTTCTTTCTTTTTGCAACTTCATTCTAATTCTTAACGCGTACTTAGCTTGAAATGAAAGAGAAGCTAATTAAAAAGTTTATTATTACATAATTAAGTAACAAAAACGTTCCTGAAAGGGGTATTTCTTCAGTCGAAAATAATCACTTTGTTCCTCTTTACCTTTCCGTTTCAAACAGAAACTGAAAGAGAAAAGCGATCAAAAAATCCGAGATGGAAATGCTTCACAACGCTCAACAAGTTTTAAAGCAGAAATACGTGTGAAATTTTGTTATAAACTCCCAAAACAAATATGTTATTTACTCTGGCAGCTTGACATAAAAATTTGTTCCATACCATTTTATACTATAAAAATTTAAAATGTTTAATTATTCTTTGCTTCCTTCCAAAAAAAGCATAGTTTAAAGCCTGGTGTCTCCCACTGTAGAAGCTGGACCGCGTTGTGAAACATTTTTCATCAATAGGTTGACAGCATAATTTTGATAAATGGTTCATCGGTTTTCTTTCATTCAGGAAGGGGGGAAAAATAATTTAGGAGTTGATTGAGCGCTTCATCCTCAAAAGAAGAAAGGTGTCTAAAAAAAATAAGTAACATTTTTGCAGTGAGATTTTGTGTCTTAAATTAACGAGAGGATTTTGATTGAGCAACGCCAGTTGAGTCGCGGGAGGTCAATTGCCCATGTTACCGCTTCTTGGCAAAACCAAGTGAAACCTGCACTTAAAGTCTTGCGGCTGAATTAAGTTGAGCTGCTTTATAACTACTTTCATTTATTTGAAATTTTTTAATTTAAAACTAAAAGAATATTATTGGTACCAAGCATACAATCCATACAAACCAAAAATAATTTTAATTAAAATTTCAAATCATGGTTTATAATTGTAATGAGTCATTACTAATGACAAACTATTTGTCTTTAACAATATTCCAATAACTAAACCGATAACATAACACATAACACCCATTTTTTAAAGTATGTAATCGATATGAAAATTTGATCAATCAAATTATACTAATTATAGCTACTTTATCTCGCATCACTGTCAGAAAGGAATAAAATGGTAAAATTGAATATTATAGTAAATTCAGTATTCATTGGGGAAAAATAATTAGAAAAATAATAATTGTGTTGCTTCAATTGTAGTTTGATTGTCTCTCCAAAATTTATAATTATTGTCTAACTAAAATCTTACATCGAGTGCAGTTTGAGACTAGTGTTCTGATTTGATAGGCTTTCTATTATCAAAGATCCATACAAAGGAAAAATATATGCTCGCAGTAAAGGATAATTACTGTAATTTCTGTGCAATTTGAATTTATTATACAAAAAATATTAATTATTATTGATTTTTTTTGCCGTTTCGCAGCATTTTCAATTTTAGTTATAGGATCTGATAGAACTTCTGATTGTGAGAATTAATAAAATGTAAAAAGCAAAAATATTAACATAGAAAATTAACTGAAAAAAATAGCTTAATTCACAATCAGCAAAAGTTTTTTCTTTGAAAAACAAAAATTATACGCACAGGTACGAATGAAGTTTATTGGTGTACAACAAGGCAATCTCTGCCCATAATGAGACATAAAATATGCGGCCATAAATCCCAAATATTTTGAGAGAAACTTGTATTTATCCTCACAAAATCCCTTCAACAAACAAGAAAATTTGGTTGTGTCTAGCTTTATAATGCTGAATTGTCACGACATATAATAGAAGAAGTAAAATATTTCATATTTCACAGCAAGAGAATTATTATATTGAATACATTTCACCAACTTTTGACAAAGCAAAAAAATTTAAATAAATATTTATCATTATTTATTAATTTATTTCATGTAATTTTTTCAGCTAGTCAAAAACATGAGCAATAATTGCGCGCTCTAATAATTTTTTGGCAAAAATCCTTGCTTTTAAATTTTGGAATAGTTTCCTTTGTTAAATTTTTTTATCATTAATAATAAACACATTAGTTAACAACACGTGCATATCTTACACCATATACCCAGAAAATTGTAACATCTAAGCTACGTCTGAGGACGAATTCTGGTAATGAAGAATATTTATGAACAGCGTTGTTTTAACAAGTGGAATCACATTTTCTTTTTTTGAATAAAAATAATTAGGATAGAACAAGTGCTTATTACTGTCGATTTCCATTCTCCAAAAATAATGACTAAAATTTTCGTCAATAAATAATACTCTACTGGCGTTTTTTTAAATTTGTAAAATCATTCTCAAACCTAGTCTGTTTGATCCATTTGGGGCCGGGAGCGTCAGTAAGAGCGCTTCTCTATCGAAATACGCAATTTTAACTCTTTTCGTATAAAATCACTCTTTTAATCAAAATAAGTGATTTTACAGCTTTTTGTAAGAGCTAATTTAAAAAAGTTTTGCCACAAAAACTTTTATTGTATTTTTTAACTTGTAGTACATTTCTTGGGCAATAGGGCACCAAATTTTCGCCGCAAAAGTTGAATCAAACAGCGTCTAAAAGATGACCCGTAAAAGCTGTAGAGCATGAAGTTGATGCTGAAATTCGTGTAGAAAAGGAGCATTCCGAATTGCTGGAAGCACCAAAGATTGGTCGGTGCGGCTGCTTCCCAGATTGAGTAGAAAAAGAAAATGTAGAGTCGAATGGCATAACTGAAATGAAATGATAATGCGCTGAAAAAACTCGACAGCCTTGGATTAGGAGAAGCCATTGCAGAGATTAGGAAGGAAGAGGAAAAAAATCACGACACCTTACCTAGGGATGTTGAGCGTCAGGAAAGTGGTCGATGTTAGCAGCAACATTTTTGTGACGCTTCTCTGCGTTTTCGTTGACAGCGTACTTTGATGTTTCACGATTTGTTGTTCTAAAACGTGCGTGTGCAGTGTATTAATTATTAATTACAAACGCCACAACATTTCTAATTAACTTTGCCTCTCATATATAATTTGAGGTTTCTACATAAATCAACTCAGCAGCAGGAATTATTAATGTAGGCCAAAAGGTGAGAAACAGCCCACCAGTTAAAATTATGAGAAACTACAGCCAATATAGATATTAGATATTCTTAAGTGTTCTTAAGGTTACTGCCGTAAAATGGTATGACAGAAATGAAAGATTAAATATTTAATCTGCCTCTGATTAGGAAATTTTATGAGGGCTCAATTTCTTAACTAAAAAAATACAGTAATTCAGTAAAGATTATTGAAAGAGACTTAATTTATTTTGCAAGGCATCATCTTTAGTCCCATAAAAAAGTCATAATATTCGTTAAAAAATAAAATAAGCAAAACTTTTCCTCGCTCAGCACAACTTTGGCGGAATTTTTGATTACTCAACTTGATTTTAATCAAGCCCGCTGAGGCAGAATTTTTCGTCGTTTTTTGTCGTTTTGGGCAATGACTAATGACATTTTTTTTTTTAAATATAAAACGTTTGTAAAAAATATGAACGAGTTTTAAATATAAAAAACGTTTATTATATAATATTTTGTTTTGCTTCATTTGAGTGCTAGAGATTTAGAGATGGGTGGATTGTGATTTTAAGGTAAGTTTTTAATATATCACGTGGATGCTTGCAGTATTTTTTTTATCCTTTTTTTCCATTTCATCAGCGTAAAACGTCGCGTACAACGTTGTGGAAAAACGGCACAAATAAAAAGGGAAGAACTGCTAAAGGCTATAGGTCCGAAAATCATGTGAAAATAACTAAACATTAGGATTTTTCTTTGAAAAATGCCTTATTTGCGCGCGAAAAATGAAGTTTCAAGAGATGAAACTGCAAAGAATGCAAAAATATCTTCATAATGAAATCGCTGAATTAAATGAAAATTCTGCCGATGAAAGCTTATTTGATATTAATTTTGATTCCCACATTTATGAAAATACATAAAATAATTTTTATATTTTATACTTACGTCCGCTTCGATCCATTTGCATGCGCTGGTTTCCCGTTCTTGTTTGCTTGTTAAGACGGGAAGGGCCCTGCGCTTGCAGATTTGACTAGAACAAATTTTGTAAAGGAACGTTTTACAAAAGCCAAATGTATGTCTGTGCTATTTGACCAGTGGTTAATTAAATTTACACTGACAGGACGACAGGAGTCTTTTTTACAATAGAGTTTGAAGACTCTGAAGCTAAGTTATGCTTTTGGATCGCTCTGCTCATTGAGCGCAAATCACAAGGACAGCCACGATTTATTTTGCTGGGCTGGGAGCTTGTTGAATTTAATGATGCTCGAATTATTTAGGTGTAGTTGCAATGAGCAATGTGTCTTTATTGATTGTATCATAAAAGGCAATTACTACCCAGGTACATCATACATCAAAGAAAAAATTATCAATTAGGTGTATTCTGACTGTTTCTATTTGGCGAACCAATTTGCTTCCAAAACTCCAATACGGTGCCAATTATAGCTTCAACTTTAAGTTTGTTGCTTTGAAGCACACAACCCCTGCTAAATGTGTCTTTTCAAAGCAATAAATTTGTATGGTCTCTTTTGATGGCTCATGACGTTGAGTTTTGGTGGTCGCAGTTTCCACTTTGAAAAACCCAAAGTTTAAACGAAGAGTCAGGGAAAGCTATGGCACGCTAAATAATTATGGAAATTGTAAAAATATTAACTTAGTCTCACTCAGTCTCACTTTTGAGTTTCAAAACATAAATACCAAACCAAAATAAGGCGCTGAGCATTTTTAGAATTCTTACTGAGGGACGAAACCCATTAGCAATATTACCGCCTCTCTTAATGATGATTTCACTGAGGTAAGGTGAAATATAATACTGAAAATAATTAATTTCCTTATAATAGCCTATTCAGTCTTGAAGAAAATTAATTGCGTACTGTAATGAGGGATGATCGCTGCACTCGATTTTACCGTGCTGCTGCTTACAAAGAAAACAGTTGCAGCTCTCTGCCCCTATTTTGCTTAATGCTTTAAGCAAAAGTCGATCACTGTATGATAGAAATCTAGCCTGTTAACTGGTGAGACAGCTCAACATGCTATTTCTTTTACTATAGAGCTATTTTTGAACAAAATTAGATTGAAACTAGGCTGCAACTTCTGCAAGCATCTGCGGAAGCGGAAGATATATTGAATTTTTAATTTTTTGATGCGCAGCTACTGCTTTATTTGTCAATACAAGTAACGTTTATGAACTGTTGTACACTAATTAATAATAAATTTTCCTCTTGCTGCTTAATTTATTGACGTTTAATATCAAAATTTAACTTATGAAATTTGAGAGTTGGGTTTTAACTGGTTTTAAAATACAGGAATTTACTTCATGAAGTGCGTTAGCTAAATTAGAACTGATGGGAAAAAGAGGTAACGGCAATGCAAAGTTCGTCAGATATAAAAGGGGGAACGTCTGCGCTTGCCGCGTCTTTTTGCATCAAAGTTTTTGCTCCTATAGCAACGCACGCCTTTGAAGCCATTTGGCCATGGCTTGCGATTTTTGTTTTGGAATCAAAAGCAGGAAAATACTGCAAGAGTTGTCTTTAATTGATTTAGAGCAAATATAATTTACCCTCAACTCCAGCGCACAAACCGTTGTTAATAATTTTAATATTCACAAATCACGATACAAGCTGAAAGGGAATTAGATTTGAGCTTTTTGAAACTCCAGCCCTGCTCCAGCCCTAATTAATTTTATGACTGCTGATGACCCTTTTCAGAAACAGATGGTCTTTTGCTCAATATGATTTTACTGGGTATCATAATGTTATTTTGAATGAGATCGAGTTTCCACTGAACTGCAAAATGGAAGGACGGGAACCTTGTATGTCAACCCCTTTGAACTTAAGTGCTCTCAGTACCACCTACAAGTAATGCAAAAAAGAGACTCACTGTGTTATTAAACGCAAGAAGAAGAATTATGGATTGTTCCATATTTTTTATAATTAATGATTATATATTAGAAAATTAATACTTTACTGTGCAAACTGAATGCGTCAAACTTAGGTGCCCAGACGAGTGGAATAAATAATAAAATATATTACATTGTATATCATCGTGATATTTATAATACCTTTTAATTATCACTCTTGTTGAAGTAAATAAAGAGAAATACAAAAAAATTAGCAATATAGCGCTCCTTTAGCGCTCTATTGATTGCTTTGATCTTCTTTTCCACCAGAGGGGTCTGCTTCTGTAAAAGGAAAATGTAATATATTTTGTCAAATTCCTCCTACAGAATGGGGGCCAAGTCATATTTTGCGCGTATACCTTTCATTTTTCAAACATAATAATTCTATTACAATTTAACATTCAATTAAAAAAATTAGGGCAACTGAGTACAGACTGCAGCGGCTCATGCATTGCATACCAAACTAGGCACAGAACTGATTTATATATGTTGCGGTGCAGACGGATCTCTATTTCGAGGCAAAATCCTCTTACCTGTATGTCTCGTCAGTAGAATCAATTACCTGTTGCAATCCGGGTAGAGCCGAGGTAAATTCGTTTTGTTAGTTTGCTTAAAATTTTTTTCCATGCATAAACTTTCGTAAAGTTTATTCAGAACGGAAGTCTTCTCTCGACCACCGCCAAGGAAGCTTATGAATTATGGCTGCAGCCCGCAGCCAAAACAATTAAAAACTCACAAAAACCCATTAAGGAAAAGCCGAATTTTAAATTCAAATCACTATAAATATTTTTATCTACCTTACATAACTTCAATGTTCAATGAAACACATATAAGTGAAAAGGTTTGAGCTTAGAATTAAATTTGCGGGCAGCGAGGGCTTCTATAACAAATTTTTTTCAGCGAGTGAAGAGCAGAAGAGAAAACTTGTAAATTTTGATAGCTTTATCAGTGAATTAATTGAATTACATAATGTAATTCTTTTGTGTTTGCCAACTTTTCTAGAGCCACATTTTATGGCTTTTGTTTGGTAATTTTGAAGCGAAAAGATTGTATTGTAAAATAACAATCTATCATTTTAACAAGAATATAATGCTACTATATTTAAAATTTAGCTCCCAGCAGATTTAATTTTGGTGAAGCTTTTCCTTTTTAATTGAAATTCAAAAATACAAAAAGCGTTGGTTCCGTTTTACTAAGTGAAAGCAGGAAGAGCCTGAAAAGCCTGGCATCCGAGTTTCCTTTTTTATCTCACTATTTATACAATGATGAGATTTTTTGGCAAATAATTTAGCACAAATTCCTTACCATAGGCATGCTGTTGGAGGGCTGATCGGATGACTCTTCATTTGATATTCCATCTAGTCGCAGTTGCTGCCGAAACTTCATAAGGCAGCGCACGATGAACATGTTCATCAAACCAATAAGGACGGATGGAAGTGCTAAAGTCAGGATGCTGTCGATGACGGTGACCACCCTCATGAGGTCACGGAATTGCGGCTTAACGTCGCAAGACTGAACTCCGTGGCCGCGCTCAACCACTCCAGCAGTTAAAAGTCCATATGAGCTCAGCACCAACGAGACAAAGACTGTTCCCAAAACGACTGCCTGCGAAATGCACAAATCACAGGAATTTTATAATGATGTCGTTTAATGTGCTCACATTAATCATGTAATTTTATTTTCATGTTAATGAACAAAAAATGAGGGTTTTTTGATTTAGCCGTCATAATTCAAATTGTCCTAAATCGCGTGGTTTGATGTCATTGAAAACCACTTTAAAATTGAAAACAATCGACCATATGTTTAAATTGCAACTATTTCACGTAAAATTTCAAAGAAGAGGGGGAAATGGGAAAAAAATAATAAATAGCGCGTGAGAAAGAACATAAAATTTTAACTTGTTTTTGGAGAAAGAAGGAGGAAATATTGCAAGGCAACGATGTTGGTATTTTACATAGCTGATTCTGAACTTACTCTTTTAGCTGACTTTCATTTCATTTTTAGAATTTTTCCCTACTGAATTTAATATTATAAACTGTAATACGTAATATAAGATACTAACTACATTATTGTTCATTGGATTTTTCTAGCAACCTTTACTACAAATTGCATTGGTAAAAAAGTCAGTTTTCAATCCCATTTTTCAAGTATCCTACACATGGACAAATTCAAAATATTTATGGTAAAATATTTATAAATTTTGCACCCTATTCTAAACATCAATATTAAAAATTTTAGAATGTTTGGCAGTAAACGCTGGCTTAAAATTTCCAACGCTGAAATTGGCTGAATTGGCTCGCTCATGCGGCGAGCAAAATCACACCCTATAATCCAACTTGCAACTATTCGTTCCAAAATAAAGTGGATCAAAATAAAGCAGCCTCGAGAAAGGGAGTAATAAAAAATACTCTGCAGGAAATTTTAGTACCTAACAGATTAAAATTGCAAAGTAAATTTTCACGTTTTTCTTAAAGGCTAGGATTTATAAAATAATTATATCTGAGTAATAAATATTAATTGACTTTTGCAAAGAGAGGTGAGAAAGGACTTTGAACCTCATCTTTGTGAATAATATACATATCTGCAAGAAATTTCATTTAACTTTGAAGTTGCGTAACCAAATGAGTTGAAAATAAAGCCATAATTAGGATTTGACAAAAGTTCCACTTGAACGCGTTGTTAGTTGTCAAAGAAACCTGATATTATACTGCTTTGTGTTGATAAACGACACACCCATATATACATATTGAAGCTGGCTCAATTTTCTGTGAGTTATGTAATAAAGTTAAAATAATTTTGGAACCCGAATCAACCAGACGTGTCAATCGTCACTCTGCCATCCGTTTCTTTTTTACACATAGTTAAAAAAAATTGTACAAAAAAAGAATTTGGCTTCAAAATAAATAAGATCTAAAGTTTAACCTTTTAATTTGGAATTATAATTAATCACATAAAAATATCGCAATAAAATAATATTTCGTTTAATTAAAATTCAAACATGAAAATATCAAGGTTTGCTTATAAATTACGTTTGGCTAAATTCGTAAGCCCTTGATAATAATGTACAAATTTTACATGTACCGTCAATATGAACGCGCTTTAATGAGAACCCATGCGTGAATATGGGTTCTCTCTCCATCGGCATAACTTTGGTTACTGTGAATATAACTCGACTCTATTATTTGTTAAAATTTATAATGTTAATTAATTTTGTTAAAAATCCACCATAAAAAAAAAAATGATTGGACTGAAACCATTATTGAGGAAAAAATTTCCAAAGCATAATTTTCAAATTTATTGTTGATTTGAAAAAGACCTTTAATAATTGTCAGTTGACAACCGGTTGATAACTACAAACATCTTAACTCTTATTGAACTATTTATTTTGGAAAATTAGTAAGAAGCTCAATTTATTTTTTTATTGTTAGACCAAGTTACACGTTAATAGTAAAATTTGTTTCATAGGGCGAATTTTCACTTTTCAATTTATTGATAAAAGGGCCGAATTTTGGCCACCAGCCACCATGTTTCTACAGATCAATTCAGAATTCAGAACGATAATTGTGCTCAAAAAGGTAAGAATAGCGACAGATTAGTCTTTAACTTTTTCAACGCAAAATAATTGTTTTTCTTTCAGTCAATTCATCTTTCAAATGAAAACTAACATAAGATGACTAATGGATAATCTTGAATTTATACCTATTATACAAAAACTCTATTAATAACTTAAACGAAAAATTAATGACTAGATTAAAATTTGAATAATACCTCATAATACGTAATACCAAATATCTCAAGATTTATATATTTAAATAAAGTATTTTTCTTTGTCTTCTTTGGTTATTTGTATGAAAAAATACATGCAAAAGGAACTTATTTAAAATTTCTCTTTCGCTCTCTTTTGCAAGTGAATAAATTTTATTTATTCGAGCAAAGGGCAGAGAATGCGAGGCAATACATTAATAAGCATTATTGATCAAAAACTAGCAATAATTAAATTTATTTCCACCGTACCTTTGCCTTGGCAACCGTGCAGATGTGAGGCCGCTGCAGGGGGTACTTGACCGCTACGAATCGCTCGACAGTGAAGCCGACCGTCAGCCAGACGCTGAGGGAGCTCGACGCGGTGCTCAGGTATACGACACCCTGACACCAGCCCTCCTTGTTGAAAGTATTTACACCCAAAGAGTCACCGGTCCAGATGAGTCCGAGCGTGATGAGGAAACAAGTGTCCGAAAGGGCGAGCGCCGCCAGGTAGTAGCTTGAGCTGCGGCGCCGCAAATAGGTGCTCGTGAACACCACAACGTTGAGCAGGTTGCATAGCACGCCGGCGACGACGATGGCCGGTATGTAGTACACGTGAAGCAGGTCAATCACGACAAACAGTCTGTCGCACAGGGTGAGGTCTTCTTCGTCGTCGAGCACCGGTGGTAAAGTGGTTGTCGCAATTTTTCCATGCCGACCAAATTTCCCGTTTTTTATCCGCTGCAAGAAATCATCGACGACCTTCCAGGTGTCTGAAGAGTTGAAGTTGGAAAAAAGGTCGGCAAGGTCAAAGTTTGGCCCGGCGGTCTCATTATAATCGTCGTGCATCGTTGGCGAGAGAGAAATCGCAAGTGCGAACGAAATTTCATCTGACGAAGCGCAGAACCACGGGGTGTATAAAATCGACATGCGCCCTTCGGCCCTTTGACGGATCCAAACGATTCCATGATCAGTGTTTTTTCTTTTGCTAAGGGATGCAGTAATATTCTGAATATTCACGCCTTAATAATTTCATGATATATCATAATTAAAATTCGTCGATCTATCAATGGTTTTTATAAGTATTTCATGGAAAAATTCAGTAATAAGACAATGTATTTTCTATAAAACAGTATGATATATGACTCACAAAACCCATCGACGAAATGCCGATATTTGATTAAAACATCGCTAACATCATGAATTAACTTTTGATCGTGAATTTCTGCCCAAAATATAATTTTTATTATTTTGAAGCTTAAAATTTAATTTAAAAATAAAGAATTAAAATGTCTTGAATTTTTTTATTTTTAAAAAAAAAAATATTAAAGACATTAAATTTTTTTACTTGAAAATTTGTAAAATTCATTGCGCAGCATAGATTATCTTCAAATCTGATTTATTTTTTAATGTTCATTAAGTAGAGGAAGAAATTGAAAAAAAGAAGGCACCTCTTTCCTCATTTTAACTTGTTTATCTTCGAGATTAATCTCAAGGCGGCCTAATTGTTTCGAAGTTTTCCGTGTTTCTTCCTATCTTCTTACAAAGTATATTTTGAGCCCATGCGGATAGAAGTTCTTGAGGACAATTTATCAGGATAAATAATTCACCTAATTTCCTTGTATTTTTACTTTTAAACTCGGGCGCCACCTTTGCCATATTTCTCATTATATTTTTTTCTGTAGATATATTTATTTTTACTTATTTTTTTCAAATGCGAGGTATTTATCTTTTTCACGGGATCCTTTTTCAATTTCTAGATTTTTTTTAATTAATTGCTCTATAAGTGCATTTATAATGAAATTTAAATTGAAAAATTTCAGAGGCATTAATGGTTTATAGTAAAATACTCATTTGGAGGCACTTTATCATAAGATCTATTCAAGTGCATAGTTATCGATGTAATAGAAAGCGCAGGCCACCGCAATTGATTTTTAAGATTGTGACTGAAAGTTTTGGAAATTTTAACGGTAAAAAATTAACATAAGTTATGAGGTTTTTAACTTGACCGCATTGGCATACTATCACAGGCAGATCTCTAAAAACTTCAAACAGGGAGCAGGATTAAATTTGAAACCTCATGTTGATTGATGGTGATTTTGAATTTAAAATCAACTTTTCCTCGATGGCTTTTGTGAGTTGTTTATTGTTTTATCTTAAACAATAAACAACTCACAAAACGTTTCGAGGAAAAGCCGATTTTAAATTCAAATTACCATGATTCAACCATTGATCGTGAAATGCTGCCACAAAATTGTAAAACCATTCAAACGTCCATAACTTCATTAATATATACATATGATTAAAATCAGGGAAATGTAGAAAATTTGAAAAAAAAAAAAAAAAACAGAATTTTTTATACAAAATTTTTAATTTCTCGAGTAAACAATATGAACTATAAAATGTTGCTATTTTTTACATTACGCGCGAGTATACACTGCAGTTTTCCTTAATAAGATTTTCAGGCTAAAATTTAAAGAATGTTGATTTAAAATTTCATTACTCTGTTTAACATGAGCTCACAAATGGACGTATATTAAATTGACGGTAAATAATACATAAATATGAACTTTCATTAATATCACTTTTTAATAAAGAGCCGTTATAAACTTTCCCCGGGATAGTAATCAATTAGCGATGGCAAATGCATTTCCTTTCACACAGGGGCAAACTCTTACACTCGCTTCATATATTTTCCGCATCACTTCATTTGAATGCAGTTGTTAGAAATTTTCTAATTTAATTTTAAATTATTCATATTATGTTGGGAAAACAAAGTGTTTCTCATGGTCAGACCTACATTATTTATTTTTAAATTGTTGAAGTAACTTTTTCTCCGTTTTATGAATATGTATTTTATTGAAATTAAAAGATTGTAATTCATGCATCTGATCAGAGCCATAATTTATTCTTATGCAATACAGATATTATAATAATAATTATGCTGCCAAAAAAGTAGAACATTCAAACAGCTAGCATAACATTGCTACAAACTAAACTATTCAGCCTGAAGGCGATGTTCTTGTACTAATTTTTGACGGCGGATTTCAAACAAAATAACAGCCACTGCAGACCCAACATTGAGACTCTCCACACCATGGGTCAGCGGGATATGAATTTTGATTGCATTGCTCAATTTATTTGCACTTGAGCTCAAACCGAGGGTTTCTCCACCCACCACAAGCACAATTGGTTTGAATTCTTGCAAGTAACTCATATTTGAGTAGCTCTGAAGCTCTGACGCGATTGATTCTCTGTTGTCGGCTAAAAATACAGACGCCTTTTCCAAATCAACCAAGCTCCCCAGTTGGTCCCAGCTCGATTGATGTGATACGGGAACTCGGAAAACAGAGCCCATACTTGCCCTGATAACCTTTGTGTCCCAGATGTTAACACAACCTGAGCAAACATCACAAAAAATAAAATATTCATTCATTTTTTTTTATGCAATATATTGGCATTAAAATATAGAGATTTTTAATGTAGAACATCTTTTAAAAGTAAAATAAAAATTGTCAAATAAGTCATGGAACTTTCAAAACTTGACCAGAGCTTTTCGATTAATATCACAAAACACAAGTTGACTGGTTGATTAATCAAAGCAGTAAAAAGCATGCTATAAAAATCTCCCCTGTAATTATAAGTAACAACAAGACCTGTGTACTGCAGCACATATTATGCATACATTGAATTAATTATATAAAGGAAGAATTGCACAACTTGGAATACTGAAACAACGATTAACTAATTATGCAGTCAAATGAACTTAATTTCCCATGAAAAATAGCCTGAACAAAAGTTATAAAGCTAAACTTTTTTAATCAGAAAAAACGTTTGGTTGTGTTTGTGAGCAATAAAAAAGCTTTAACCTGTGTATGTTAGACAATAAATACTTTAAAAAGTCATCAGCTTAGAAAATTGGTTTTTTAATTGCATTGCAAATATTTCCGATCACAGATCTAGGCCAAGACAAGTTGTGGCCCGGAACCCGGAATAGTTGAATTTTTCTTATCATTCAAAGAAAATAAGTTTAAATCGGTTTAAATCCTTATTTAAAAAAATTCAAATCATACTGGATGATAACAAATAAAGGAAAAACTGCAAAAAAACCATTTCCAATTGCTGTCCGAAAAGTTAAAAAAAAAATTTCCCTGCGTACCTTGTGTAGTGATGACTTGGTTGCATCCTGCTGCGGCTGCTACTCTGAGAATGGCACCCATGTTCCCAGGATCTCTGACTTGGTCGCAAACTAAATTCACTGGCAAAAGATTGTTTTCATTTGATAGTGGCAGCAAAGTCTGCAGCTCCTCGGTAATTGGTTGGTGAAAAATGCCTAAATTTGACAAATAAAAACCATGAGTTCTATTTTTTTGAAATTTTGCTCAAAATTTTACAAACCAGTTATTCCAGGACATGTTGTAAGTGCAGTCCAAAGTCTCAAGTTTTGGTAAGGAGTTTTGAAAAACTTGGTTCTGCTACCTTCGGGCAGTTGGATTCCTCGGACAAGATCCTTCTTGCTAAAAAAGACACTTTCGCACTTGATTCCGGCATGAAGGGCATCTTCGATCAAACGTCTTCCTTCCAAAGCAACCAATCTGTTTTTCTTGGTTTTCATTGTGAGTTGCATAGCCTGCCTGCAGACAAATATTAATATTTTAACATCATGTTGCATCATATTATATGCTCTTTATTCGTACCCGAAAGTTTTATCCGAATCAGCAAGTTTTTGAAACGGTGGCAAATCTGCATTCGCCTCTTCAGTCTTTTCCTTCCGCTCTTGCTTTCGCTCAATTTCTTTCACAATTTCATCTTTGCTGAGTTCAATTACTGGAGTCTCGCTTTCATCAATAGGAGCAGTAACATGAGCGGTATTCTCTTGCAGATGCAGCTTGTTTTCCAGAATTTCAGCCGAGAATGGAGGGACACGGCCTCTTGCTGTGCAAATAGAGCTGACGTGGAAACCTCGGAAGATTTGCAGAACCGGCAGTCGGAATAGTGGAAATATTTTTGATGGCATAATCTAAAAAATTATTAATATATTAATGACCATGATTGGATTTGGAAATTTTAACTTCATTACGTACTTAAAATTTCTTTGATAATTACTATTAAATGTTGTAATTGCTTCTTTGCTACGGAATTATTTATAAAAACCTGAAACTCAGTTAATTGTTTGTTGAAAATGCCAGCGCCATGTGTGATGTGAGTCGTATTGTTTTGTTTGATATTATTAAACCCCCCACCACTACTTTTTCACTTGTGTTTACGACAACGCCCCTTTTAGCGAGTTAAAAAGATTTTCATCAAAACTGTGCGCTGTTCTGCGACCTTTTCAAGCGTTTCTTTACTTCTTCACGCAGATTTAAGGTGAATATTTTTACTCCTTATATTCATTTATCTTTCCATAGCTTTGTTTACTAAAAACTGTTAAAAACAAAAAGTTTGGTTTGTACATAAACCTAGAATTATAAAAAGAAAGTTTGAGAAAAACAAACAGATATTTCTGGACCTTTTTATAATTAAATTTTGTACATTCAAGGAACATTGAATCAACTTCGCCTATAATTATTTCTTTTTATTTCTTTTGCAGAAGATGGTTTGCGCCAAGTGCGAGGCCAAAGTGGCCAAAATCATCACGCCCGACCCTTGGAAGGCCGGGGCGCGAAACACGACCGAAGGTGGTGGCCGCAAAATCAATGAAAATAAAGCTCTGACGTCAAGAGCTCGAGCAAACCCTTACGGTGGGACTAAATTCGAGAAGTGCCGGATATGCAAATCAAAAATACATCAACAGGGAACTTATTATTGCCAGGTAGGACAATTATCAATTTTCTTAGTTCATATAATTATTTTAAGTGTGTATTTTGCTTTTTTTTAATTTGAAAATTTATTTTAATTTAAATATTCACAATTATTCTGATATGGACTGCTTTTTTATTAATTAATTTGTATTGGTCGTTAATGTTATCAAAAAAAGCTAATAGCTGATAACCTAGTGACTTAATTTTGCTAAAGTTTTGTTTCATTAGTTTGACTGCGATCTTTACTTTATTCAATTTTATTTATTAATAATAATATTTAATAAATTTTTTTGTTTTATAAGGTTGCCTTAATAATGTACTGAAATGTCTGAAATTCGTATCTAAAACCAAACTTACATTGTGTTTTGCAGTCATGCGCATACAAGAAAGGAATCTGCGCCATGTGCGGAAAGAAAATAATCGAAACCAAGAATTACAAGCAGTCGGCAGTTTGATTTTGCTAAAATTATGTGAAAGTGAAGTGACAAAACATTGGTGCCACTGGACGTTTTTTGTCTAAGAAAATAGACTAAAATTAAATTTTCTCTGATAGATTCCTCAAAATAGTGCATTGCTTTAAAAAATATCTTATTTCATTTGTACATAAATAAAACACTCACGTGATTAGAATCCTCTGTATTATTTGCATAATTATAATTAATCTGGCGTTTGATTAATATAAATCATAAATTATTTACAAATAAAAAATAAGCCTTGAGCAAAATTGTCTCACGTTAAAAATTGATGGAAGAGCACAAGTTTAAATAATTTTGATTTCACTCCACGTGATTCGTTTCGTGATTGGCAACGGGAGAGATGACCTCCTTCTTCTTGCCCTCCTCGGCCGCCTGGTCGAGGAAGACCCACTGCTCGAAGGTGCTGTACTGGTTGTCGGTGGTCTTGAGGTAGCTCGAGTGCGACATCATGATGTCGTCCAGCTCGGCGGCCGAGATTTGCATCACCTCCTTCTCCAGGTTGACTGGGGTCACGGTCACGTTACTCGTGGACACCTGTACGTTGACCAGCTCGGGCCGCTCCTCAACTTCTTCTTCTTCTTCCTCAGGCTCTTTGTCTACATGGTTTGAGTTGGAGCTGTTGAAAGTGGTCGGTTGCAGTTCATCGTCCAATGAACTGGCAACGAGCAAAAGACTCCCCCCACTGGTGCCATGTCTGATGGTGGTGGAGGGCGCAAAGTCCAGCGACTTCTCACTCACGGTCCCTCCAGACGACAGCACTTGGATTTCGGTCACATGCTGGACGGTGGGGGTGGCTGTGCTGACAAAGGTGACCGTTGGTGGAGGGGAGGTGGGTGGGGTGGGAGGTGCAGGGGCGTCCGGAGTGATGTAAGTGATGCTGGCGGGGCCGGAAGTTTCCTCGTCTACCGTGATGACGGTCTTCAGCTCCTGTCTTTCGAAGCTGATGGCGTCTTCAAGTGTCCCCCACTGGGAGGACTTCTTGAGACGGCGGTTGAAGGTGTCCGAGGCCCCCGCCAGATCGATCATGACCGGCTGCTCCTTCCGAAGAGGTGAGTTTGTTGGGGTGAGTTCTTCTTCCTCATCCTCTTCAACGCTGGTGTCCGTCATGGCGGTTTCCGAGTTAGCCACGATGGACACCGGTGGCGCCACTTTCCTCTTCTTGGCCGTTCCAGTGTTTGACTCTTCGTTAACGTCCACCATGTCCAAGGACACGGCCCTCTCGAGAGGAATACTCATGGGCTGCTCGGAGTCGAACCGAGAAAGATCGCCCAAGGACGCTGCCTTCCTCTCGCGACCCTTGCCAGGATTGCCGCCCTCGTGCTCGTCCTTGGCGGCCTGGTGGATGGTGACTTGCGAGGAACCGAGTTCGATGGTGATCGGTTTGTCCTCGTTCACAACCTCTTCGGCTTTGGACATGTTGTCCTCAAACTGCTGCTGCATGTCTGCAAAGGCAGTGAACTTGGGAGGAGGTGGTGCCCGCCTCTTCTTTTTGTCACTCTCCTCAACAGACTCTTTGCTCACAACCGTTTTGTCTGATTTGTCTGGTTCTGGTTCGGCCACCGGAATAGCAGCCTCTTTGAGGCTCTTCCTGTGGCTCACGGCCGCCTGCGCCGCCAGCCGCATTTCTTCTGGCAACTCCGTCGGAATGTTTTGCTTCTCCTGTTCGACCTTGAACTTCATCTCGTTCACCACTTGACCCATCTTGTCCGGCACGTCCACGGCCATTTCGTGCACAACCTCTTCCTCCTCCTCGATTTTCTTGTTCTGCTCGTTTTCCGTTGCCTCGCTTTTTGTTTCGAGCTTTTGGCCGAGTTCGCTGCTCAAGTTCAAAGGGAGAACTTTAACGCCAAACTTTGCCATTTTCTCTGCAGACGTTGGTTTTTTATCTGGCACAGAGGCGACCGACGTCGTCGAGGTTGTAGGCTTCTTTGTCCGTTCTGGTTTGGGCATGGTGACGTTTGATCTCGTTGCCGGCGCTGCTTCCTTCTCCATTCTGGACGTCTCCTTGCGACTTGACGTACTCACAACACTAACTTGAGATAATTGCTCTGGTTTCTTCAATACTTTGACTTGCCGCGCACCCATGCTTGACATCCGCATCTGAAACGTCGTGAAAATGGAAATTAAATAAAAATTTAAGAGAAAAAATTAGGCAATTTTTTTATAAACTTAAAATAGTTTGATAAAATAAATAAATTTAAATAGCAAAAATAATTATAGCAATTCTTTAAAACTATAAGATAAGATATCGATTGCGAAGAGAGACTATAAATTAAGTTAGAGCTTCAATAATTAAATATCAGAAATAACATGATTTTTTTATGTAAAGAATACTGCAAGTTATATGCAGCAAATAATAAAGACTAATTTGAATCGGAAAGTGGAGATAAACTTGTAATCAAAATTCAATTTGAGCTCCTCATTATTTTCCACTCTTCAAGCCCATATTTCAAGCGGTAAAGTCAACCCAGCCGCCACTGTCAGCACAGTTCTCATGTTTCTCAGAGAACCAGATCACAAATTGAGATCAAACAATCAACTCATGTCAATTAATTTTTTAAATCAAAAGTATGAAGAGATCGTCTTGATTTACTTAATGTTTCTTAAAACGAAAAGAAGAGCAGCGTTAAATCTAAAATTTACTTCTATTAAATAATATGTATTAATTTTAGTCATATTTTAAGATGAAAAGAAAACAAAGATTTTTTTGCGAAATTTCAGCAAATCTGTATCCAAAATAAATATAATTATGAATGCTTTTAATAGACTGCTCTAAATATTTTTGCTTAAAAACTTCAATAGTTTGACGTCTTTAATTATTTATATTGGAATCTGTTAAAACAAAATATTTCTAATATTGATCAAGAAGTCGGCTTGAATATTGTTGAAAATTCAAACTTGTGGATTTTTTTATTATTTCAAATTCTGTAATTTGCAATTATTTAAGTCTACTCACTTTATTGAGGTCGTCAATGGACTGACTGCGGTAGAACGGATGGCACAACCTGTCCGGCGGTCCCACCGAAGGCGACCTTTTGCCACTTCCGGTGTCCCTGTTGACTCGGCCCGGTGGCCGTTTCTCGATCTCCAGCTGCACGTCGTAAGGCGACGCGTAACTCAAAATCGTGAGGGCGTCTTCAAACACCATGTGCCGCAGAGATATGCTAATGCTCACAATCCTGTCGCCTGCCGATCAAAAGAAATTATATAAAATTCAGTTCCATTGATTTTTTTATCGTACCTGCGGCGATTCTGCCCGACTCGGATGCTGGGCCACGGTGCAGAACGTCCCGCACGTAAATTCCTTCGCGCATGTTGCCGCAAATGTTGAAGCCCAGACCGGTAAAATCGTGGCCCTTGAGCGGCACGAAATCGCGTTCAGGCTCCTGCGTCAAGTAATTGCGATTTTATATTTAAATTTATTTCACATTTCACATTTATTTTTTGCTCTCACCCCAACAAACGAATCGTCCATTGCTTTGAAAGAGCTGTTTTTCCCTTTGCCGCTGCTATTTCCAACGAACGCTGAAAATGGAGCCCACGCCTGCCATTTTCCTCCTTTAACTCCCTGGATATTATGAAACAAGCAAAAATGAAAACATCAAACTCATTAACATAGGATGAAAAGTTTACCTTGCTTGCGTCAACATTGATGTTATTTCTCTCTATTGTTGATTTTCCGTCTGAAACAAAATGGAAAATGTTAAAATTTTGATACTTTTTATTCAGCGCGCTTTCACGTTTAAATGTCTGGCCGCTGCCCAAATTCCCCAACACGGTACACCACAAACATGCGCCAATGTGTTAGTGCCCTTGACCTTTCTCTTTTCGTGGCCAACACGCCGCACATATGTACGCATTCCAAGCGGCGGCGCACCCAAATCAAATTGCCAGCAGCACCGGCACTTTTCTTATTCTCCTCTGAGATTTAAATAAATCTCAGCTTCATTCTTTTCTCGACATGCAAACATTGCTTTTTTATTTCCTTTGTTGCACTTGTTGTTTGCCAATAAGGGATAACAAGTTAGTTATTGTGCAGGCAAATTTATCTATTTTTATTTATGGAGAAACTGCATCTTGCATATTCTCTTGCCAGCATGCAACGACCCAAAGCTGAAAGCAATTAACTGCACGCACACCATGGCAGTAATTAGTGCATATTTCGCTCCTAATTGAGCGTTAAATTACATCAGAGGAATTTTACTTCAAAACTCCGAAGGTGCCGTAAAATTGTGTAATTTTTATATGAAATGTTTTATTTCTTACCATGGGGCGGAGTTTTGAGCGGCGCTTTTTTCTGTGGAGAAGCGTCTTCAGTGAGGAAGCCGGGATTGTCGAACGCGTAATGGTCATCGGCCAAACCAGCTTCCGGGTCATTCGTCACTAGAGTCAGCGTTTTGCCTGGAAAAATTACAAGATTGTTTCTTATATGTTTGATAATATTCAAGAAAAAGAAACAATGATTGCGTTAAAAAATTCAATATTTTTGAATATTTTATATAATTATTATGAGAATATGATTGAAAAGAATATACATAAATCCTGCTGCAATATATTTGCTACTTTTATTCAAATAGCTTAGTTCGATCCAGTTGGATCAAATATTCTAAATCTAAATCGTTAAATTGCTAACAGACTGCTCAATTATCAATTAAACAATTTAATTAAAAAACGTGAGGAGAGGTTACTAATATGTATATAGTATTAGAATAAAAATTGTTGTATTAAAAAATATTTGTTAATTAAAATAAAATTGAGAAATAAAAAAACCTCAACCAAGTCTCATAGCTACGATTGGTTATAGTATTGTTCTGCAGGGGAAATTTTGAAAATTAGCATTTCTGTTTATTAAAATTTGTACTTGTTATTTATCATTTTAAATAAACAATGAAATTAATTTTCTGATTCATTGTAATATCGTGGTCACAACTAATCGCTCTGTTTTTTCAATTACAAAGAGGACACATGCTTATTTTTATTTAATTAAAATTTGTTCTCGCTCATAATTAAATCATTAATTAGTACCCATCAATGAATTTCAAGTGTCAAGGGACATCATACACAAATTAAAACTCAAAGTAAACACATTATCGTCAATTTATTTCTTCATTTAATATTGAAAACCAGTAAAATTCTAGTATTTTTTTTCAGAGTTAAACATTAATTATGTGCTCAGTTAACTTAGTACTCGGCGCTGTAGTTAAATATATTTATTAAATTATCATTTCGTTTGCTTTACTCTTATAAACACGTTGCAGTATTTGCCAGATTCATCATTATCAAGTTTTATTAATTTTCAACTAGTGCGAGCGGTTTATCCGCCGCACGGCTGTGAGTCAAAGAGTTTTGAAAAGAGTCAGCCACGCATGCAATCAAAGTGCAGGCGCAAATAAGGCGTAGTTTATTATCGTCGCACACCCTATTAATAAACACAAAAGCTCGTGGGTTGTGTGTCAAAGCGAACGTGCATTTCAATTTTCGATGCCACGTACGTGTACCTATATTAGGTCGCGCAGCCAAAGGGCGAAAATGTTTCCAAGCCATAAGCGACTAGCAGGGAAATATGCATTTCCAATTAGCGAAGCGGTGGTTCTTTCCAATTATAGAGCTTTCACATACACACACATCATTCACACTCGCAATCAGCAAAACGGTCTGCAATTCTAAAAGGATATTTGAAAAACTAATATTCAACATCAAAATAAAAAAAATCTGACCTTAGTGAAAAACTTCGTCTCTACAAAAATGTAAATTTTAATTTTGGATGAATCAAATTTTTAAAGTTTTGACCTAGTTTATTTATTATTAATCAAGTTAACTTTATGCAAACTATCTAAATGGGTTTCAATTGTTTCATTGTCTTGTTTCATTGTCTTATGTTTTGCATTTTGCACATGCAAGAAAAGTTTTATCTTGTAAATATTCTATCATCCTAAAAATAAAAATGCAATTAATTCAAATATAATAATTGTTTTAAATGTGTTTACATGAAAATAAATAATGCAATAATCATCAAGTTTCATATTTTTTTTTTCTTTTTTGAAACCTTCCATTAAATTCATTTTACCATGAGCTAATTTGGCGTTTATCCTATTTACTGATTGCAATCAGCTTTTCTTTGATGGTGCAAGTCTGTCCGTGAAATTGAAAATAGTGTCAGCTGGCCTGGCGCCTTCTTCCTGCCGCGTGTTTTATTTGCTTTTGCGCGCTCAAGAATTTCCAGCAAGGATTTTCTCTTATCTCCATTTTACAACAAAAGCGTACAGTAGATAAGACGGAATTCCTTTTGCGACAAATGAATCACGGCGTTTCCACTGTGTTGAGAAATGCTTCCAATGAACCATTTTAATCATTAATAAGCTCTCGTCAATCTTGTTAATTGGTACACGAAGTGGAGTGCTCGACGCTGAGAATAAACAATCAAATAAATGATACGCGTTTCAAACTTGCATTGTGAGCAACTGCGAATTGTGTGTCAAGTGTTTGGGGAAACTCTCAGATGGAGAAAGAAAGATGCTGAATGAGCATACAAGTCTTGTGAGCACAGTAATAGTCGGTCGGCTGCTGTGCCTCTGCAGATCGGACGCAGCGACTCGTTCATGATTGTTTCCATGGAAATGATGTCAATCGCTCTTTCAATCGCTTTGAAATGTATGTTAGTCGACGCGCCTGTAGATATAGAAGCAGAAGATTTAAACTCTTATGGCAGTGAGCCCAATTTTGTTATTTATTTTTCGATTGAATATTTTTCCAAAAATATCTGCCAATATTTCGTTTCTAATATTGAATACTTCAGAGAATCTACATTTTTCACAATTTTTTTTATTCCCTTCCGTAAGTCTTCCATATTTGAGAATTTTGCATGAATTGTTCATTATTTCCGCTTGGAAGTTGATAATTTTTGTTCCTCTACAATTTGAAGCAATATTTCCCTGTCTCTTTTCCAAGAATTTACAATAAGAAAATCTGTTCATTTTTCTGAAGATTTTTTTCTAATGCTCGCAGTGCAATTAATAAATGTCCAATTAAAATCTTTTTATTTATTATGTGCAGACTTTCCTGTGCAATTTTATACACAAATGAGCAATTCATATTTATGAAACTATTCCTTCCAGATGACGATTGAATAATATTCCATTGAACAAATTATGTTGTAAAGTAAAGATACTTCACAACATATACACAAGCAATTCATAGAATATTAATTTCCAAATGACGAGTTATTTTCATTTGAATGAATATCTATTTCGAGCGAATAATTTTGAGTCTCTTTGAGCTCAAAGAACGGCAATTTTCGAACACCCGGTCTGTGTTCTCGCGTGGCATCTCCTCTCGGAATAAATAGACGTCAGGGATGCGGACCGCAATGGCTGCTGCCTCAAGAGAGAATACACTTATGTATAAGAGGTATGTAATGATTTTGTTCAAGGTAAGCCGGTCCACGCACGCCTCTTTACAAATACATATACGTTCCCAAGCCATCTCCGGCCTATCCGGCGCGCCGACATTAAAAACGAAAAACACAACATAAGCCAATTTCAAAAGGAGAAGAACCACCAAAATCCGACGAAAATTCGTAAAGTTAAATTAAAATGCTGACAATTTAATATTGTAAAAATGAAAGAAAAAAAAGAAGAAGGAATCCCCTGGGGCCTCAAAAATTGCCCCAGGCGAGGAGGAAAAAATAATAAAATCCTAACCATCTTGTCTGCGGGTCCAGTAGTACTTCCAAAAAACGTATCCCGCGGCTCCGAGTATCGCGAGCGCCGCGACGGTGCCGATAACGGCGCCGACGATGTCGCCGCCCGAAAAGCAGTCCCCTGCGGGCTGCTGCTGCGCCGCAACGCGCTGGGCGGCGAGCAGCAGCGGCCACACGGCCCACGAACGGCCCATCGGGTGCGTGTGGGAACTCAGGGGGCCTAACTCACTCGGCGCGCCACATTATTTTGTCCTTCCCGAGGGAAAAGGCGTCGCACTGTATAATTCGCTCGGCTCTCGCTAGACCACTGCTTGTTCTTTTGTGAAGGGCCTGCAGCTCGAACAGGTAGGCAGCCCCACAACAGGTGGACGAAGGGAGGGGATCCGCGGCAGGTATTATATGTGCGTGCCTGCAGAGAACACTGGGATTACGAAACTCACACACACGCCAGCCAACAAATATTTTCCCGCAGAGGTGCATCTCTCTCTCTCGCTGGCTCTTTTATTATTTCTCTCTCGTCGCCGCTGCTCGCAGAGTGAATGGGAAAATATATTATATGAAAAAATAAAGCTGTGCGCTTCACGCCTAGTAAATTTTTTGTGCCACCGTCGCGATCCTTTGTTGTCAAGGTTTCTTCCTTCCACCGTCAAATTCCAGGCGAATTTTTGGACGCAATTTTCACAGTAAGCCTTTGAAATGCAAAGTTGCGTGCAATTCATTGTGCAGTCTGCAAAGGATCTTTCGAACAGAAATCGCTGTAGCTGGTGCATCAATATGAAACTTCTTGTAAATACCTTTTTGAGGATAGGGTATAGAAAAAGTTAAATTGAAAATTCCTTTTGGGAAATAGGTCATGTCTGCACTTATTTGGCTATGTTATAAAATCTACATTCAGAAGCTTTAATTGAAGTTTGTTGTTTTTAGATTTTGACCAATCGTATTTGTGCTTTTCACCCTCTCAAGATTTCAAATCGCGAATAAACCTTTCCTCATTTGCTAAGTCTAGTTTGCACTTCAGTCTAATCGGAGTGGCCATTATTTACATCATAATTAATTCCGTTTATCGCTTTGCAAGAGGCATTTGCCAATTACATTTTTTTTTCTCAACTGGTGTTTTGGCCATTTTATCTCTTAAACAAAATTTTAACTAGATATTTAAAAAAAAGTTAAAATAAAAATATTTTGACTATTAAGCTCTTTTAAAAGTCTTTCCGCCAAAACGTACATATAACTCTATGTACTATTATTTAATGTTTTTTGTCTGAATATCCAAGATTTTCCTTTGTTTTCAGTTTTCTTCCGTTCCCTAAATTTCACGTAAATTTTTGGAAGAATTTTGCTATTTACAATGATTGTCCTGTTCCCTTGCGAAATATCCTGCTGCTGGAGTTACAAATTAAAAGATATTGCTGTGAACAATTCATCAGGCAATGAATCGATGTAAGTTTTATGCTACCTTTTAAAGTAGGGGTAAAAATATTCTAAACTATTGTTTTTAGAGGAGAAATTTAATATAAAATTAATAAATTTTCAAACGTTTTCCTACCCTCTACATAATTTTGGGATGGGAAAAAATTGGAAATAAAATATTATAAATTATTGTGTTTGTTTATGAAATATTTTCACTTTTTTTTAATTATCTCTTTTACCTGTATAATTTAACATCGCGTAATTTCACTTTTTAGTAATTTGTAATATATATTTTTATTCTATACCAATTATATACATATAGTGGTTTCACTTTCAAAGTTCATACTATACAAACAGTAGGGCATTTGGCTTGACTAGTCCGTCATGTCTAGTTTGCACAGTTCTATATGTATATTTTGGTCTAACCATTGTTTATCATCACATTAATCCGTTTATTTGAGTGACTGTGCCAGATGTGAGTCTTATTTGCAAATAAACATTTGGCAAATTGTCTTATAAACAAAATTTTGACAAACTTAATTGTTTCTGAGCTTTGAAACCATGTATTGTAACCTGTAAGTAAAGATTGATTTAAAATATCCAAAACTGTGGATTTTAGAAATAAAATTCAATACACATATCAACCAATATCAACTTTTCATTTTCAACCTCTTGGTAGGGTTGGCTGATGTTAATTATTATGCCATATATTACAAGGATTTTTTTCACATTTCGCCATCATACATATCAATGATCAAAAGATAAAAACACACGCTCGCTTCTTGTTTGATTTAAGAAAATGCACAAAGTTCACGTTGCTGTTTTATCATCAAGTGGGCAATTTGTCAGCACGTTTGAATTGCAGTTTGACGCAAATAATTTGGCGGCAGTTTCTTGCGCTTAGTCTTTTGACTTTTGAGCGAGACCGTTGACCCTTCGCGACTGTCACCTCTCAAGAGCAAAAGGAAGGCCTTGAAAGCGTGAATGAATAATTCAGTATTATTATGAAAAAATAAATTTCCTCTCTCTCGCGCGCGCGACTTTTCACCAGCATTTGCGGTTGGAATATTTTGTTTTCCCCGAAAAACCATCACATTTATGGTTCCAAAAAAGGTCATGCAGGAGAAAAGACGTGGCTGGAGAGTGCCCAAAAGATTCTCTTTCCACGTCATTACGTCAGGTGTTGGATTTGTGAACCAAGGTCGGACTTAGGGGACCAAAGGGGAGCCGAGATTTCAGGAGGAGCCTCTCTCGTTATATTTCTCTCATCCAAAGATCCAACCTGTGGGTATTAAAAAAGTTTTGGTCTGTCCGCTGCTCTAGCCGCCGTGCGTTCGCATTATATTTATACACCTGTGAGCCCCGCCGCTCATTTTCTCCTTCATTGAAACACACGGCGCGGCATTCCACGGCGCATTATAAAGGAGCCGCCGCCGGCGGATTAAACATTCTTATTCCTTTTTAATTACCGTGCCAAACTGCACTCTTGTCTTGAATTTTAATTACGTCTGTGTGCACAAAAGTAGAAATAAATTTTGTGCTTTTTAACTGTTACAAGCTGTAATCGAATCGTGGGAATGTTCATAAATACGGGGAATTTAACTTTTTTATATTTTTATATTTCTTTAATCTTGCGGCTCTGCATCTTGCGGCACCAAGTTGTGCGGAGAGCTGAGATTGCTAATCTCGGCGGCAGGTAGCAGCAGAGCAACAGGTGCCTGTGTGAGCTTAACGCGCAACGGTGCAGAGGGCAGACGCTTACAACTATCTGTTACAACCAACAATTACAATTGAAAATTGAAGATTAAATTTAGTAATGATCGCAATGAAATTTTTTACATTTAATAAATTGAATGTAAAAAATGTAATTAAAACGGCCATTTAACACCTGTAATTAAACAATTTTAAAAATTAAATTTATTAAGATTTAATCAATAAAAATATCGCGCATTTTTTTTTTAAATAATAAAATTCTCTCTTTAAATTGTCTCTTTGATATAACTATTTTTTCAAATTAAAATTATTGTTTTCTTCCTCCATTTTTGATTTTTGCATTATAAATTGCCCATTATTACAGATAAGAAAATATTTTTCCTCTTCACACGTCTTTGACATGTTTCTTTGTTTTCCTAATCCGACCCCATACTATTTAAATTTTTTAATTTTGAAACCATTATTTTTAAGGCTAGACTTCCCAAATGAGTATATATAAAGGGTGTGGTGTAAAACATAAGAATTCATTTAAATCTTTCATAATTTGCATTATAAATCAAAAGAAAACTAAAAACTATCACTATGCTGCATCACCAGTTTCCCCATGAACAAAGATGATCTACGTGATGCATTGTTTTCAACAGCTCACAATCATTAAAAGTTAAAGTCAATAAACCTTTTGGTTGCACATTACGTTTATTGATCCTATATAACAAAGCCTTTTAGGGACTATAAATTTGAGAAAAATCGGCCTTGCGGATAATTATCCAGGAATATATTTTTGATTAATTCTTGGTAGACCATGCATTTATTTAACAATTAAATATATTACCAGACCATAATTATAAGTTTTCAAAATTTCACCCATCTGATTATTTCCATCTTTACTTATATCCATCTTTACTTTTACTGTAGCCAAAATATATATAATTATCATTCATTTAATTATATTTTTGCTATGGATTATTGATGGTTAACTAAGCAGAGACTTCTTATATCTAATAAGTTGCTGGCTTGTTATTTCTTCATCTCAAGTACTTTTTTCAATTTCAAAAATTCATAAAAACGAGAACCGGTTTTTGATTTACCTCTCAATTGTTCCAAAACATAAATTGGATTTTAAATCCTGTCAGTTCCTGATCACGGAGGTTGAAGAAGGCGCATGATTAGAAATTATTTACACCGCGCTAAACCGCAAGCCACATTGAGAGTGGAGAGTTGAAAATAATATATTTTAAAATAATATTTGTGCAGGTGAAACGCTCTCTGCATATTAATCTGTTACTTTGATTTTAATCTGTTGGTAAAATGCAAAATCATAATTAAAGTTGTAAATTTCTCTTTGCTGTTGAAGATATATAATATATATATATATATATATATATATATATATATATATAAGTTTGCTTACGTTATAAAAAGCTCATTACATGTAATATAAGCTTAACTCAAACTTCCATTTAAAACAACTTCAAATTAATATAAAAAAATTTCCTTGAGCTAAAAGGCTGACGAGTTAGACTGTACTTTTTATGCAAAAATTGTTTAAGATTTCCTTCAAACTCTTTGAATATCATGTGACAAGAAGGTAACCGACAGTTTTTACACATCTGAATGTTTTTGGCGGAGCTGTGGAGTCGTGTGCAGCAAGAAGCAGAGTCTTTTCTAACCTGCCCTCCTTGATAGTCTGGAATACGCTAAACAAGCATCAGCAAAAAGCAGCTATCCGGTTTTTGCCACGAAGACTTGATTCAACTTTATTGATTTTTTGTCCGTTCGTTTCAATTAAAAAGTCCTTATTGTGACAAGGGGTGTCACCATTCAATAATTTATTGTACTCGGTGATCAAGGAACTACTCTGGTAACAAAAAATAAAAATTAAGAAATAATTAAAAAAGGATTGAAAATAAGTTTCGATGGTGCGTTGTTTGACTCTCATTTACTATTACTGGAAATTAAAAAAAAAAAAAAACTATCACTTGGATTGTGGAAATTGAATTTCAGCTGAAAACGGCTTACCATTAACATTATATTTGCAATGGAATAAAAAAAAAATGAATTTTTCTTTAGAACATAAATTATCCGAAGTGTTTAGAGATTTGTATGAAAACGATTTGTCTTTAAAAATTATACAATTTGAAATTATCCAACAAAAAGACACTGATTAAATAAAAAAATACAATTTTTCAGGGCACTTCGTAAATTTTAAAATTATTATCACTTTGTAAAAATAAACACTAAAAGTTCCGGATTCTCTCTTGATCCTCCAAGTAAAGATATAATTAACTAGCCAGA